AAATGCAAAGTTGTTTTGCATTATTTAGTTCTTCGAACCCTATTTATTTTATGAATAAAAAAACTGATAATTAAATCGCTCATAAAATAGCATGAATAGGCCTTCATTTAATTTCATATACACTCCTCATCCAGGATGGACTGCAGTTTCGACTTTTCCTAGGTCCCACGAACACCCGTAGGAAGACCTGAATCATTCAAGTGCAGCGTGTACTCTCGAAACATTAAATACTACGCCACACTATCACGAGTACCTTTGGGTCACAGAGCAGAAGTGAATTTCTATGAGGTCTATGCCTTTCCGACATCACATTTCTGTGGTGGAAGTGTCGATAAAGCAATAGTATTTTATATAATAATCGACTATACTACTTATTTTTCGTTTCTAAGACGGTTTTAAAAACTACAATTAGATCATATTAATGAGATGTATTCACAATATTTCGTTTAAGCTGATTAAGGACTATAAGTTGAATTTTCTTCACATTGATATGAGTAGGCCTTAAGTTTATATTTATTTTCACATAACCCTGCTTATCAAAACATATTCTCATCCGGAGTGTGGCAGTTATGCATAGTGGTTAACAAGTTTAGATTATACGCTGAACTACTAGGGTTCAATTCCAGTTGATGGTGCTGATGATACCAAGGCAAAGTCGCAACTGCTATCCATCCTGAATAAGAATATCTATTAGAAAGTAGTGCTATGTGAAATTAATTGGAAACGCTAGGCCCATTCATACGATTGTGGACAAATTCAAACGCAAGTACTTCATTATCTCTACATGATCTACCGGTAGTATGGAAAACATAGTTATAAACGATAAAAGTACGCGAATATTGTTTTCATGTGTATATTACTTGATTTTCTAGGCCATTTCACCAGTATAATGATTCCTGGCGAGTCAAGTTTTATTTTACATGACTAAAAAACTACTTAACCAATTTCTCAAATCACTGTTATTTATTATTTTAAAAAGCCACAAAATTGAGAAGAGGTAAATAATAAGATAAAGAGAGAAAAACAGCTTACATTGGTCAGGTCATCAGCAGTATCGCATGAATGCAAATCCCCGTGAGAAGTGTGCAGGTTTCCTATGAGAAATTGAATTCAAAGCAAAAACCAGGAAATGTTTAGGTTATTGATGGCAAGATCGAATCTATTTAGTTGTAAATATATGGAAAACCTCTCTAAAGGATAACGTAATTGCCGCTCTATAGGCCTACAAGATAGAAGATTCAATACTGCATGCCTATCAGTGCAGATATTTATATACAATAAATAAATGTTCAGAATGATAGTCGTTCCCTCAAAAATGGTAGTATCGAAAGAAAAAAACTTGGAAGCAAGATCCAAGGATCTGAATTGTGTTTGAATTAGAAACTATAGAAGTGGGTTGATCTCGTTTTCGCAACTCGGCCTTGTTATCAAGGTGACTTAGTTGGACGTACCTTGTCCGAAGTCCTCTGCCATTGTAGTTATCATAATTCCCAGTGTCAGACTTGGCATATTCTCAGACATTTCGCCGGCGTCAGCATTGAGTCTTGTTGTTCTCAGCACCAAGCTACAACTCGTCAAAGAGACAGATGAAGTGAATCCCTTGATCAACAATCTGATAAACGCCTGTGACCTTAAGAGACCCTACCATTCGGATAAAATTAACGAGATTCTCCATCAGGCCTCTATTCAGAAGTTAAGTGAAACTTATGATACGAAGAGAAATAAGCTATTTAATTGATACTGGTGTACCTTTCATTTCGTTTGAGAAAGTAGGCCGAACGCATTCGTAGATTGGCCTAACGGATATCGCAGAAGGAATGCCTTAGACTTTTGTCCGTTGAATTGTGCGAAGGCAGACCTCCTGTGATATACGGTGAGGCCAATCTATGAATAGCTTCGACCTGCCTACTCAAACGAAAAGAAAGGTACGCCAGTATGAATATATTAAGGGATTCTTCGGAACCCAGCTTCTCTTCATATAAGCTATTTACGTTTATAGCTTTTAAGTCAAAGCTCCGGCGGGATCTGGCTAGGATCCTGGCTCCAAAAGACTTTCAAAAACTCCAGAGCATGACCGAAACGAAATTATGTAGGATCTCTGGCTTAATAACAAAACGACACGACAATAAATTGCATAAGTTTGGGCACCCAGTTAAAGTGGTTTCCGAGGTGACAACACCCACTGATTAGCACAATGATCGGAAGAAAGAAAGAAATTTATCCTCACTTTCGCTTGATCTCGAAACCACCACAATCCTGAAAAAATGGCTCAATTTTTTACTTCAGAATGAAAGAATCCTTCTAGAAGGCAACCTGGTGGAGGCTAGTAATATCTCCGACAAGTTCCCTGAGAAGACAAAACGGTTTATAAACTTCAGAAAATTTTACAGTTTTTCTCTTCCATGTGACCAAACTGCGAAGTAATCGTCCAGGTACCACATGAGCACTGCTGGTTGTAGCGATGACATCATGAAGTTGTCTTTTAATTTATTCACGTATACGTTTGATAAAAGAGTTGAGAGCGGCGATCCCATGGAAAGTCTTAATATTTGTTCATAGATGGTCCCGTTGAATGTAAAATAGGTCGTCTTTATTGTCAAGTTGATTAGTCGTGTTAACGCCTCCCTTATGATTCTTTCTGCTTCCAGGATATCCTCCTCTCGGTCCAGAATTTTCAACAGGACCGTTAGCACATTTTCTCTAAAGATATTTGTATACATTACTTCGACATCAAAACTTACCAATAAGTCTGTTTATTCCAGTGTCATGTTCTTGATTTTTTGAGAAAATTCATATGAATGTTTCACCGTGTTTGATAGCCTGTCATTTAATACCTTGAGTTTCAAACATATGAACTTTGCCAATTCGTGTGTTGTTTCAAACTTGTTGCCGACTATCAGAGTGACTCGCCTTCTTTGTGTATCTTCGGTAATCCGTAGGCTGTTGGCGGTCGTGCATCCTATCTTAGGATTGAATTTTTTGTCCATGCGTCAATTTCCCCGTTACTATTCATATCTTACGGTGTGTCATGTAAGTTTCCATTGATCTTCATAGTTGGGTCCTTCTTGAGTACACAATATGTAGCCCTGTCTGGCAGAATACATTCCATCTTATCGGTATATGGTTTTTTCCCCTTTATCATTATCGCTCCTCCTTTATCTGCCTGAAGGACTAAACGTTCATTCATTTCCAGGTTCTTGCTTATCCTAGTAAATCTGTTCCTGTGTGTTGAGTCTTCATCTGTCAAGATCCTTGAAATTAGTTCCATCTCCATTTTCTATTTTGTCTCCTCAGGGAACTTGTCGAAGATATTGATAGCCTCCAC